AGACATCAAACAAAAATATCTCATTTGGTAGTTCCTAACTTAAATATTCCTAAGTTTCATCAAAGCTACACGCTTGATAATATTTCTGTACTTAATCACTTTGTTAAATGGACTGCAATTATATCTGAAGATGGCAAATAACTTACAGTTATTTCATTCTTTCCAATAATATCATAAATATAATGATAATCAAGTTCAATGTGCTTACCCTTAGAACTATAGGCTCTATTTCTAATTGATGAGATGATAGTCTGATTATCACACAATATTTTAACATTTCTGTAGGTTACATCCAGCTTCAAATTACTTATAAAACGTTTTAATCCAAGCGGCATATGTTGTAGCAATACTACAAGCAATATACTCGGCTTCCATAGCATACCGAGCTACACAACATTGTTTCTTGCTAAACCAAGAAACACAGCCACCTCCAAAGAGGAATATAAGTCTTGAGGTTTCTGTCATCTAGATCGCTGGCAAAGTTTGCATCAGAGTACTCAGTAACCTCTAAATTATAAACTTGGAAGCACAATTTGTAATTTTTAGTTTTTTGAATATATTTTAGTATCCTTTTTACGGTTTACCAATGAGACATCCTAATATTACTATCAATTCTAATCATAAGACCATATTCATGACTCAAATCAGGTCTTGTACACAACATGACATAATTTATACATCCTACAGCTTGAGCGTATGACATTCTTTCCCTTTCATCTTTGTCATTATCATTTAATAGATACATTTTCCTTGATAATTTCAAGCATTTACAGACAGGTGTATCTATGAGCTTGCAATTTTTCATTTTAAATTTTTTTAAAATACTTTTTAAATAAATTTCTCGAGATAAACATAGAAGTCTCGAATTTTTATCTATTGTGATCTTAATGCCCAATACATATGAGGCTTCTCCCACATCTTTCATCTAAAATTGGGAACTTAGTCATGATTTGATCTGGTTAATCATACCAATATCATTCACAGCTATCAAAATATCATCTACATATAGTGACAATATAATAAAATTCCTCCCACTATTTCAGACATATACACAATGGTCTAACCTATTGGCTACATAACCAATTTCAATAATTATATTATGAAAAGTAAAATACCACTGTCTACAAGACTGTTTTAAACCAAAGATTATTTAAGTTTGTATACTTTGTCTTCTTGACCTTTAATTATATATCATTTTGGTTGTTTCATGTATATATCTTATTTTAATTCTCCATTCAAAAAAGTTATTTTAACATTCATTTGAAATAATGCTATACCATAATATAAAACTAATGATAAGATGATCCTAATATATGAAAATTTAACTACTGGAGTATAAGTTTATATGTAATATATGGTAAATCCTTTAGCTACCAACCTAGTTTTATATTTATTAATAGATCCATTTATAATAAGTTTTTTCTTTAAGATCCATTTGCAATCAATGGCTTTTCTATCTTTAGAGAGGTCAACCAACTCCTAAACTTAATTTGTCTTTTAATAGAATTAGGTTCATCATCCATGGCTTGAGTCCACATAACTGAGTCAAGGGAGTTATTAGCTTCACTGTAGTTTTGAGTTTCATCTATTTAATCATCACTAATTGAACAATAATTATCTTCATTCATAAATACATAAAATTCTTCTATGGTGGTAGGTAGGGCTCTAGTTCTTTTATTCCTATCTGGTATACTAAGTTCAATTGAATTATTCTCACCAATTGTAATGGGAAATTGAGAAATCGGGTCTTCGAGACCTTTATCTTTATCAATTTCATATAAGTTAATAGACTTACTTGAAGTATGTTCGTCATCTATATTTTTTAGAAAATGAGTATCATAGCTCTCTAATGATCGAGTATCATAATTATAGAATCTATAACCCTTAGATTTTTTTTGAATAACCTATAAATGAACACTTGATAGTAATTTATCTATATTTTGTGATAGTATGAGTACATGTGCCCAAGAACTCCAAACTTTTAATATAGTAATGTCAAGTTTCCTATTTGTCCATAATTCATATGGGGTCAAGTCTATAGATTTAGTTGGAACATAATTAATAATATAAATTACAGTATTGAGAGCCTCATACAAAAAATGAGGTAATAAATTTGAATGTCTCATTATAGACCTAACAATGTCCATTAGAGTTCTATTTCTTCTTTCAGCTACATCATTTTGTTATGGTGTAAATGACATGGTTATTTGGTGAATTATACTATGCTCTTTACAAAATTTGTTAAATAAGACAAAGCAACATTCACATCTCCTATCTGTTCGAAGAATTTTAATACGTCTATCTAGCTAATTTTCTACCTCAGCTTTATATTATTTAAATGTTTCTAATACATCTGACTTTTTACTAATTAGGTAATCATCGATAAATGTTATAAAATGTTTCTAATGCTCTAGAATTGATGGTTTTGTATCTAGAACATAGCAAGGGTATAAAGTAAAAAACAACAGTGACATTCAGTGGTATGCACTGAAATTCACCGCAATAATGACAATAAAGGTTTACAATTTTGAAAACACATAGTGCACTTTCCTAAACAGTAGATGGCATATAGATATAATGAGAGAGGAGAAAACAAAAGCAAAATTCGATGATGCCCCTTATGTAGTTAGCCTTCCAAAAAGATGATAACAGATAAATAAATAAATAAAATCAAAGAAGGAACTCATGACTCAGACACATAGGGCAGTAAAGAAAAACACAGAATTGACAACGAGAAAATTACAACAGCACCAAGATCATTATAGCAACCTTGTTCGCTCTGATACCAATGTTGAATTTTTTAAGGGAAGAGATAAACTCAATAAAATCCCAGGAATTGGAAACAATGTCGTAAGACTGTGAATTGCATATATGAGGGTTTTACCATATCAGTTAAGAACTCACGCTTTCTCTGTGTGCCTCTCTGTCTTGAAATCCTTAGTTATAAAGGGATGGGAGGAGGCCATTTTCCAACATTTGATTTTCCTTATGGAAAGGTGACCCTATTTTCTTAGGAGGTAGGTAGTTATTTTCTGCCCGTTGGAGAAAGGCATCTACTCTCTCTAAAAAGCTTTTTTAGTAGTAAATATTAAAATATATTATTAAATAAAAAGAAAGAAATATGGCACATGTGAGGGCACATGGCCACCCACATGTACCAACAGGTTTAACAAAAAAAAAGTAATGTTAGGTTTGGTTCTAAAAATATTCTCTCTCCTCAAATTGCTTTATTTATATATAAACATGGAGTTAAAATATGTGTTTGAACTACTTTTTTTTGGGTAAAAAATATACCTTTGAACTACTATCTAATATATCTTCACCAAAATCAATCTCCGTCCCAATCTAACAAAGAATCTTCAGCCTTTTCTCCCTCATCTCTCCTCTCCTCCCCTCTCAACTCTATGCCCAACGACACCCCAACCATCTTCCCCAAACCCCTTTGCTTTCAACTCCTCAATTTTACGTATTTTCGACGGAACCAATGAGTATAAGGTCATTTAAGATACTATATTTCATATCGCCTCAGGCATTCTCGAAACTTTCCATATTGATCTCTTAATTTTGAAATAATACTTTTGTTGCTATTTTATTTTATAAGGTATCACTTTTTATAATATTCCAGTAGCACGTGTTAAGCAATGTGCAACTGTGGACACAATTTACTCTTGATACAAGAAAATCGTAATTAAACAATGTGCAACTGTGGACACAATTTACTCTTGATACAAAAAAATCGTAATTATTCGTGTCATTGTATTTCAAATTGGGTGTGACAAGGTTCAAAGTTCAAAGCTCTAGATTAAAAAAAAAAAAAAATCATAGTTCAAAGAAAATTTTATCAAATTTAGTAACACCTCAAGTTGTTCAATTTGAAATCGGATGGATGGTAGTGTTTGTAACCTCCTCATCATAAAAGTAAATGATCTCATACTGCACAATCCTAAAAATATTATATAATTCAATAATAAAATGAACAAGCAACATGAGCTTCTCATATCACTAAAATTTTCCCTCCATCCTTTCAAATGACAGTATAATTATTGGGATGTGAAAACCAAGATTATCTAATCTCGAGTACGACCAAATCAACCCAATTTCCTTTGACTTGCATAAATCTAAGTTATAAAATCTAGAGCTTTATGGTGAAGGCTCTTATGGTGAAGGCTCTTATGCTTCATCATAGACATTTATTGCCCCACATTTAGATATAGTTATATCTTTTAGCATTGAAATTTTTAGTAAACTTGTATAACTCACAAGTTCTAATCAAATGGCAATCCGTTAAATTTGCCAATTCTCCACTTCAAACTTTTAATAAACTTATTAGGCGTAAATCCAGACTAATCTTTATCTTTAAATGCTCTCGAAAAACTTACCCCTTAAATAATTCAAACTAACTGGCATCTTCTCATTATAAATTTGAAATACTAACAAGTTGCATTTATTCAATTATAATATGTAGAGGATTGGTCTCAGAACCTATACAAAGAAATAGAATAAAAAGGTTGTGTTCCAATACCTATATGGAGAAATAGAATAAATGCAACTGAACAGTTCAAAAGGAAAAAGGATTGATTGTTCAAAACTATTTATTTTTACACCCAGTGGTGGGAAAAATAAATATTTTGGGGGTTAGTGGTATGGTTTACATGTTATTATAAGTGGAAAGTAGGGTCAAAGGGAATCTATAATTTTCTCAAAAAAAAGAAAGAAAGAAATATTGAAAAGTGTACTCAACGTATCATCGGAGTCCATAGATGAACGGCGATAGAGGAAGCCGGGACCGGCGATCGGGAGATCCATCATGTAACTCTATCCCGGTCCACCGATCAATTAGACGGTGATAAATAACACCTAAACGTGGTCATGCAGATCACATGAGAATCGTTTGGATGGAGGGAGGAAACGCGTTGGAAATGGCGGGTAAACAATCCCGTTCCGTGTCTGAATCTGTTGACTTTCACACGTGCGCCACGTGTTGAACCTTGAACTAGAGATCAGTAGCCTACAGTTTGCTTGCCCTAAATCCTCTCACGCCATAGGTCACTGACCCATGATTCTAGGGTTTCTTTCCCCTAAACTATTTTCAACCAACTAGGTCTAAAAAAAATTATGGCAGAAGACTTGTCCGAGCATTGACTTTGTTGGGCTTGTTTTTCACTCAAATCTCAGCAGATGCGTTCTGCATTTCTCTCGTTAATGTGTGATTGTTTTTGCCATTGTATTGGAGAAGTTTTCATGAAAGCAGATTTGGGTTTTGAGTTGGTTTTGGTTGATATCTGAACCCATCTCATGATTGGTTTGAATCTGTTTGCTTTACAGGACACCAGATTTGAAATTTGAGCATTTTGTGGTGAGTAATACATGGGGTTTTTCTTGAATCTAGGGAGTTTCCATGAAACCAGAGATGGGTTTTCAGTCAACTTTGTCTTCTAAAGCTCTGAAACCATCTCAGAAACTCGTTGGCCGGGTACCTTCCATGAAACGAGGGATGTGTCCTGAGAAATTCGTAATAGTTTTGGTTGTTTCATGAAACCAGATATGGTTTTCAGATTTACCTCCAAACCCATCTAAAAAAACGAGTTTTGAACTTTTGGGTTGGCTATGGAATCAATGGAAGTAATGGGTTTTTTTTCCCTGAATATTTCTTGATAATTTTATTTGTCCATGAAACCAGAGTTGGGTTCTTAAAATTATCTCCAAACCGATCTTGGAGACAGTTTGTCAGCTTCTGGGGTGTCCATGAAATCAATGGAGAAAATGAGTTTCATAGGAGGGCCTGTATTGTGGTTGAAAATGCTCTCAGATGAGCTGCACTGGACCTTTGTTACAGGGGTTGTAATTGTTTATGGGATCAGCCAAGGACTGGGAGGTGCACTTTCTCGCGTTGCTTCTGATTACTATTGGAAAGATGTACAGTTAGTTCAGCCATCAGCTTCTCAGTTTTATCAAGGAATTACATATATTCCTTGGGTTGTTAAGCCTCTATGGGGTCTCTTCACTGATGTTTGCCCTGTCGCTGGTTACAAAAGGAGGCCTTACTTCATCCTTGCAGGTACAACTATTATCTGTTGCTTTATCTTATTTTGGCTCATAGTATTTTTATGCTTTGTTTGATTCGTCTTCCTTATGACAGTGCTTCGGTCAAATCTGGTATAGGTACAAAGTTGGGTTATTTGTATAACTATCTATCAGTTTGAAAATCCAAATTAAGTTTGATTGCTTTGTGTAGATCTCTCTCTCTCTCTCTCTCTGTGGCCTTAGGTGGTTGTTAAATATTGAAGAGCTTCATGATAGTGTCAATTCCTTCAAAGATAAAGATTTTATTTGTGATATTGATTTGCCGATCGCAATTACTCTTAATTCTATCTTTTCTCCCTATGTATATATCACTAGCAGTGGTCAGCATACATATTGAACTAATGGTTCAGCAGTTCTATTATAGACTCAAAGACTGTCTTTTTTCTTGGATTGTTTAGCTAATTTAAGAAATAATGGCATTTTCTATCACTCATCTGCACAAGAGATGCTTATTCGATATAATGTGCTATCTGGCTAGTAATAAGCTTATTCATCAAAGGACTCAAAAAAGCAGTGATCTTTAACTCTTGTATGCATAAATTTGTCTTAGAGAAAATATGTGTGATGCTGATGAGCAGCAGATAGATTTGGCACACTACACTGAACTTCATCAAAATGATTTCTATCGTAAATGATCCGTAGGTTGAAATTTCTGGGTTGAATTCTGTACATATGGTAAATCCATTTGAATTTCTTATAAATTGCACTACAACACCATCTGATCTTGTGATGTAAAATTGGTGCAATGCAATTTGTTCCAATTACTTGATCTTCGATCCAAATTAAGCAACTTAGGAGCCTTCATGAGAAATATACTTTGGTTGGATGATGAGCAGTGAAATGCTGCTGAGCAAAAGCTTTCTTGGGCTTCAAGTTTCTTGATGTAGTGGATGGGTATATTTATTTATTAATTATGTACTTTGCCTTTCTCTTCCCATTTAAAGTTGTATACTGGCAGTTACATGTATCTATATGTGTGTAATTGCCCATAAAGGGGCATTAATGTCTTTCCTATTCTTGGTTGTCCACGTACTAATCAGGGTATTTCAATCAATTATATGCCACATACTCACATTCAAGAGATTTTATTTTCCCCTTATTATTATTAACTAAAGGATGCCAATTTGAGCTAATCGAAGTATGGAAGAATATGGTGGTTCATGGTGTTTAGAATTTAGATACTGAGGGGGTCGTAGATATTGAGGACTTTTAGGATTATAAACTTTGTCAATGTTTTGTATAAGATCATTTTAAAACTTAAAAAATCCTTTTGAAAACACTCAAGAGGATTTATGTTGTTTCTGTTACATACAACTGAATGGGCCTTGTAAAAGGAGGCGGATCCAAGAGAATGCCTGCATTTGATATGAGCTTATTGACACTCCTAAGTTTGTGAATCATGATGTGCCTGTAAGATTTACCTAAAAAGGCGTACAGCCATGATGATTGGACCTTCCTAGGTGTTACCTTTCGTAAAAGAGATGGATCCATTGGTGGTGGTGTAAGTTCTTGACTGTTAACTATAAATATTGCGTTTGTTGGATAGGACCTTGCCTAGTTTTGATTGCGAGTTGGAAGACTTCTTTCATGATAGAACTGAAGGCACAACTTGGTGAATAAACCTTAGAGAATCTGCAAGACACTAAAACTGGTGAGCTCAATGAATTATTATCTTTCTCTGGAATTTTGGGATGGGTGGTCCAAAATGCTTCCCCTACAAAATGGATTTGGAAGAGAAAATCCCCTCCTTCCATCGTCATCATCATCATCATCAGAGCTTTTTTCCAACTATTTGGGGTCAGCTAAATGATAAATCCCCTCCTTCCATGTTATACTAAATGATAATCTTGACCACTGAACGTATTGTCTATGAGCCGTGTAGGACGTTTTAGTCACATGTTCTATACCTTTGGTATGAATATTCACTGGGATGTCATCTTGTGAGATCAACAAAGGTCCCAAATGCTAGCATGGGGTGTTGCTAGAAAGACATTGTAACTTGGATTACAACAATGAAAAACCATCATGAACCAGAGACTAGTGCACTTGAAGAATAGTTTCTGCCACGTCGGAACACCTTTACAATGAATTTTGACAGTCGCCATTGGAATCCTCTCCTTGTATCTCTAGTGGGGCTACAAGAATTACTAATGGAGCAAGTTCATAGGGGTCCCCAGATGCTATTGGGGCTGACCAAATGCACCCTTAAAATGAGAGCAATTTGTACTAAAGATTTGGAGCTGGCAAGAGAGTCCCTTTTGGCAAAACCTAATATTGTGGATTCCATTCCTACCAGTTAACATGTCAAAGAAAAAATAAAAGAGAAAAAAAAAAGAGCCTTCTTCAAGGAGGGAAAGCTAATCTGCATTTTGGATATGGTGAGGGAGGTTAATGTGATGGCTGATAAGCTGGCAAGTTATGGGTTTTGCTTGAAGTTGCACGGGGCTATGGCTGTTTAGACCACCATTGGCTGGAACACTCTTTTGATAATAATATGCCTTTATTTCTTATTATTTGTACTTTTAATTGGTTTAGTAGTGATGGATTTCTAGTATTACATGGTACTTAAATAATTGTCAGAAAAGGCATTTATGTCTTTGTCATTATCTGTACAAATTTCCATAAGGTTGATGCCTGTCTAGCCCAGAGTCATTCTTTAGCCATGAAGTATAAAACCTCCTTACACTTATCTATACTTTTGTCTTAAGATTGCATTTAGTCTTTGTTGTTGAAGCTATAGATCATTCATGTTCCTCTTCGACCTTGGTGATGTTCTATGACAACATATGCACTCTTTCTGTTAGGCTTCTAATATACCATTTTTGGCCTCCTATTTCCGGTTCTGCATGGAGTGTAAACTGCTGCTAGTTTGTTTCCTAGAATCATCCAATGTTTTCGGCATCTCTAGTTAAACTTTATGTAAACTAAGTTTACTTGTTTGAAAGAATTAGTATTGAAGATGATCACCGTGTTGTAATTGAGCCTACTGCATATCCACAATCATTAAGTAGTTCATGATTAAGTAGAGGGGAACTTCCCTTTTAATTCTTATGTCCTTTTGTCTCACCTCTTGCAGCATTTATTTGAATCACATTAATCTAGTTCTTGTCTCTTTGAATCAACTCCCTCTAGATAATAGTTATGTCTATTGGAATCATGAAAGGATGTTTATGGGTACGAGGTTGTGGATTTAAGATAATTGCTTAAGATAATCCATTAACATTCAGGATTCTTGCACTGTGCTTTATCTTTTACAGGTGCGTTGTGACTTATGGTTCCCTATAACAAGGAATATTTTGTTTTGTACTGAAACTGAAAAATCTGGCAGTAAATTAGTTAGGAATGCAACAGTGATGTAGGTTTTTCCAATTTGTTGATTTCAGGTCTTTTGGGTGTCTTCTCTATGCTGGTGCTGTCACTGCACCACAACCTTCATGTTGTGTTTGCACTGATTTGTCTAACTGCTGGAAGTGCTGGAGTAGCAATTGCAGATGTAACTATAGATGCTTGTGTTGCACAAAATAGCATTCGTCATCCGCCTCTTGCTCCAGACATGCAAAGCTTGTGTGGTTTCAGCTCCTCCATTGGAGCACTATTGGGTTTCTCTATCAGTGGTTTCCTAGTGTACTTTATTGGCTCTCAGGTATGCTTGTATTCCACTTTTCCCATTCTTGGAATATTCTTGGGGATTTGGGATGTTGTCTGAACAAGTGAAATTGTTTCTATTCTGTTTTCTTCATTCTAAGAATGTTCTTAATGACCTGGGTTGTTATCTTAACCAGTGAATTGGTTCTGCTCCATTTCTCTTTGATCTTAGTATATTATTTGTGAATTAGGTTATTGTCCGAAGTAGTGAAATTGTTATAAGAGAATCCTTGCTTTTGTATTTTTTTCCATTTATTTGTTGTATTAGATAGAAATCATACATTGTTTTGCCCATACAGGGGGCGCTTGGCCTTATGAGTATTCCAGCTGCACTTGTTCTCTTGGTTGGTGTTGTGCTTAATGAGCCCCACCAGCCCAACAATACATACAAACAGGCAAGATAAAATAAATAATTGAATTTATGTTTGATTTTTCATATTAGGACTGTATCATAATTGACTATGGAAGAAACATAGCATTTCGGGTCATCCCGGATCTTTGAAATGATGGATGGTGATAGAGACCTAGCCTTGGGGCCATGTCTTGTTTGGTCGGTCCCACTGTCTAACCATCATGTCAATCATTTCAATAGATGATGATGACGTTGTAGTATTCTTTACTTAATAATGTAAGCATGGCTTCAGAGCTCTCACCACGCTTATGTTACTCTGCTCTTAAAAGCTACGCATGCCATATCATCTTGGGTTTCAGGTGTATGAGAAGCTTCTTGAAGCTACAAAGACCATGTGGACCACATTGAAGTGTCCAAATGTCTGGAGGCCATGTGTTTACATGCTTGTATCACTTGCCATCACCCTAAATATCCATGAAGGGTTGTTTTACTGGATTACAGATCCCAAAGCTGGTCCAGCATTCTCTCAGGTATTTGATGTTTTAAGTTTATCCATAGGGGTTTGATCTATTTTTCTTGTTACTCTGCGGGAATATATTCTGACCATTATAAAGATAACTTTCTAGTGTTCTCGAGATTGAATACGATATGGAAAATTTATTGTATAATTTGATTGACTTGAGAAAGCTACAGTCTTTCGGGGTCATCATCTTTCAATGAATTATTGATGGTAATGGAGAGGCAGTTGGACCCCAACAAACAAGATACGATACCATTCTTGCTTCCTCATTGTCCATTGTGTCACTGGATGGTGATGATACATTGGGCTATGATTTTCCATTGTCAACTGGATTATTGCATTCTCTGCAATTTGATATATCTCTAAGTGCTCAATGTTTGCAGCTAAACTACCTCCTGGGCTGATATCTATTTACTGTTCTTGGGCGCAGGAGATTATTGGTTTTGTGATGTCAGTGGGTTCTGTTGGGGCTCTTATTGGTGTGCTCCTTTACCAAAATTTTTTCAAGGACTATTCTTTTCGTGGCCTACTCTTCTGGACTCAATTGCTTTTTGGGTTCTCAGGAATGCTTGATCTTGTTATGGTATTTCGCTTAAATTTGAAGTATGGGGTACCCGATTTCGCATTTGTTGTAATTGATGAAATCGGGCATAATATAGTTGGACGCCTAAGATGGATGCCTCTCCTTGTTCTTAGTTCCAAGCTTTGTCCATCAGGCATAGAGGGAACATTTTTTGCTTTGCTTATGTCCATTGACAATGTTGGCCTACTGCTAGCATCATGGGGAGGAGGCCTACTTCTCCATCTCCTCAAGGTGACTCGTACTGAGTTTGGTAACCTTTGGGCTGCAATATTGATACGAAATTTGATGAGATTTTTACCTCTGGCTCTGTTATTTTTGATACCCAATGCTGATCAAAACTCCACCCTCCTTCCAATGGATTTATTGCAGGAAGAAGAGGGGGAGAATGCTGAAGAACAAAATATTGAATTGGTTGCCTTGGTAGAGAGAAATGAAGAATAGTTTTTAAATACTTGGAACCATTCTTTATGTATTGAATTTTTTGCCTCATCTGAACCGTGGGAGGGATTATTTGGTCATTTCCGATTTGGTACTTAATGATGAGAGATTCAAGGATTTAGGTCTCAGTTGATATTAAATCAGGAGGGTGGCATATGTCAGGCCAGCTAAATGAGCTGTTCATAATGGCTAATTTGCAAGCCTTGGAATTGTTGGATAGGGAGAAGCAGCATACCTGCTCATACAAACCAAGGATGCAAAAGATGATAAAAGGCCTTAGAGTGGCATGGAATCAAATTTTGTGAGTTGAAAAATGAAATTGTCCCACATGATTCAAGTAACTCTGGATTTACTTTTGTTTCACAATGAGAGCCACAAACTCTGCCTGCTATTGAAGTACCACATTCTTCAGTGTTTGCTATACCATGTTTTGATTGAGCATGGATCCTGTTTCATTCATTTTTTTTGCCATTCACTTCCGCAGCCAAGCAGAAACCTATTTGTGGAAATTCAAGGAACCTTGGCATACTATCCGAATTCTATTCTTTTGATGTCTTGAATAGCTGTAATTGCATATATCATATTTAGGACTTGGGCTATGTGCTTTCTAGGGCAGCTATTAGCCTATTAGTCTTTCTGCACTACCAAGAACAAAAGGATAATACAATAAAAGTGGATAATAATTGAAAAACTGTTGAAAGTTGGAAACAATGAGAAAATAGTGGAAAATGTGTTGTAACCGGAAACACAGACAATCACATGGAAATAAAAAGTTGTGAAAAATAATAATAATAATAATAATAATAATAATAATAAAGAAATGGAAAATATTACATAAAATATTTCAAAAATATTTCAAAAATATTTCAAAAATTATAATAAATTGTAGTTTTTTAAGGACTTATTGATCATTTTTGCAGTAGAAAGAATGAATGGGTGATAATGGGCAAATGATAAGCAAGGAAAAGTTGAGAAAATAATTAAAATATGGAGAATAACTGAAAAATTATTAAAATCACAGATAAAAAAAATGTGAAAAATGGTAACTAAAATATAAGAACAAAAAAAGGGGCAAAATCAAATGACCATATTTCAAAAAAAATATGTTATTTTTATTTTTCAAATGGCATTATTGTTCATTTTGCGCTGCTAGGTACAAATTGATAATAGCTGAAAAATGAATGATAATAATAATAACTGAAAAACTAGGAAAATATCTTGGAAAGAAGAGTGCAGAATAGTGGAAAAAAGATAAATCACATTGAAATATTTCATAAAATATGTTATTTATTTTTATAGAGGGCAATAATTGTTTATGATGCACTATCAAGATCAAAAAATGCACATGCAGATATTTGAATAATAGTTTCAAAAAATTAACTTTGCTAATCTACAAACAAAACATTTCAAATTCAAGATTACCACTTGTTAAAAGCTCTAAAATAACTACATGTGCCTCTTCATCAAGTATCTGCTAGCAACCAATTACATTTTAATTTTCATCTGCTTTTTGCCTAGTTAATAGAAATCGTTCCTCGTATCAGTTCTTTTTACGAACACTTTAGTATCTTATGTAGAGTTTGCTCTCCTAAAACGTCCTATTATCACATGAAACTTGATCAAAATTCACCAGCCTAAGAAAGGATGCAAAAAATACTTGTATTTAATAAAGGGGTCATTGCAAGAAATCATGTTTTTAACCCAATGGTTTAGAAATTATAACATAGACCGAAATAATTTCGCCTTGATCATCATGAATGCGTGGGGACTCATTAAAATAAGGTATCCTGTCAATTGCAATAATTGGATTGAAATCTCTCTCTCTCTCTACCAATCGAATCGTAACAACTTGAATAGAACAGTCAGTCAAACCTACCGTGAATTAAAACAGGGGCCTTTTGGAACTTTGGACTAGATCCAGGGTTGAGTTTGAGCAGGGATATAGCAGCCAATCCGAGATCAAGATCAAGATAGAGAGAGAGAGAGTTATAGTTACCTTTTTTTTGTTTTAATGTTTTATTTTCTTCAATTGCTTTTCTGTCTCATAAAAAAACCATCTATTACCAACTGTAAATTGCAAGGAGAATTATCCATTAATCAAGGTTAGCTCACTGATTTTATTAATCATGTAGCTCTCACTGAATTTATTCGAAGTACTGGAAAAATTCATATGTTGTGTGTCTCACATTGTTCGCAAAATCGTCCGATCTAACCGCTAACTACCTGGTCAGATCGGAACCGGCCGGTTCCAGTTTTGAGCGATTAGGGTGATCAACCGGTATATATATATATA